CTGAGGAATTGCAATCAAAGCGCTCTCTTTTTCTACCTCCCCAACTGCTACTATTGATTTTCACTTGCACCAACTTTGGGGCAGTTTCATTTGGTATCCATCGGTTTTGGCAATCTACAACACACACAGGCATTCAGCTAGATCTCTTATGTACATATGTATATAAACAAATAATAGACATGCCCCGTTTTACTACATACGTGCATCACTCATATGCTGGATTGTTGTTGCGACTGCTGCTGCCGCTGCTGCCGCTGCTGCTGTTGCTGTTGCACGTCGCTCACTTTGCCAATTTCTGCTTTGTTATTTTTTTCGCTGTGGCATTGACGTATTGCTGAGAAGGGGGCGTCACACTCTGATATTTGTCGCTGTTTATTGCTAAGCAATTTTGGCAATAGTTTTGCAGTCGATTTGGCTTTGGCGTAGGTGCCCAGCGGTTTCTCTATCGCACTCGCTCGCTCCTCTGATTTCGGCATAATTGAATTTGTTGGCGAAGTTGCCACAAAAAAGCAACAGCAGCAACAAAATAAATTTTGCATTCGACGCTTAATAAACTGAACTTTAGAATTGTGCCATTGGGCACAGAAGAAGTTGGTCAAAGAGTTGATCGGCGCAGTTGTCAATCAAAAAGTCAAATTCCAACTGTCAAAGCAGCGCAATTTGTCTGCACAATTGAGACGAAAAGCGAATGTGACACGAACCCCAAGAATGCAACGAGAGGCCGTCAAGTATTACAATTTGTTATATACAAACATACATACAGTTTATTGCACATACGCCGCGTGTGCTCAAACATTTATTAAGCCGAGCGAGTTACGAGCACTGCGCACGTGAATTAAATCAAATCGAATCGAATCGAATCGAAACGAAACGACAATCGTCAATCGACAATCGGCTAAAAAAATGCAGTCAACACAAACCTGTGACAATTTACAATTATTCCAACAATAACAACTACTTATGTGGGGTAGAGCCAGTATTAACCCATTGCAATTATAAAATAGTTAACAAATGAGAAAGAAACCAACTGTAGACTTAAAGCGGATTTCATTTTAATAATTGGACTTTAATAAACTGGCTTATTGCCATTTACTGTCTGGTCGACGTTCTAAATACATTCCCCATTTTTTTTTTTAAAAGAAACTCGTTATATTTATATTTAAATAAATGCGTGTTTATCAACATCCATAAGTCTAAGTTTAACCTCTAGATTTATTTTTACAAATAAATTTAATTAAAACTAGTCAATATCTTAATGGGTTAATCGCATTGTGTTTGACAATTACAAAGCCAAAGCAAATGTTCAACAATAAGCAAATAATTTTGCACATGACATGCGAATCAAAATCCACTGAGGGAGGTTTATGGGGAACGAAATTGGGCAGCCGGTTTAAGCATTCGTGCAACATGTTGCCATTGCCTGAACGCAATTTGGCGATCGGCAACTGCACGCCAATAGAGTCGGCCAAAAACAGCCACATGTACATGTAATACCCAGCAATAGCAGAAACCAACAACTATAGCAACAGCAACAGCAACAGCAACAACAACTGCAACAAGCAGCGATAGTACTATAAAGTTATTCGATTCCTATGCTAATCGACTTGCAACGCAAACAACTGCGTAATGAGTTTGCCGTGTGTCGCTTGACTTACATGTGTTAATCGTTGTTACTGTTACCCTGTAAGCTTTAAATTGTTTGACTTATTTGAAACAAATGATAAATGGTTAATTTAATATCTTTAATACCAGAATTTTATTCTAAATTAACTTAATCTCTATGAAATAAAAGATTGATTGTGCTTTAAAATTTTTTTAATCGATTTTGATTGCATTTACTAAAATTAAATGGCTTCATTCATTTTAAGGAACTTACCTTATTCATTTGTATGACATTTTTATTAATTAATGATATATTAATATGAAATCTTGTTTATCGAAAACTTTGCACTGGGTATCATCTAGTTGAAAGTTCTCAAGAAATCAGTCTTTTATGCTGATTTTAGTGCAACTGGTAGGTCAACTGTTAAGTGTTGACTTTAAATGTCAACTGATCCAAGTTTGAACCCTATTTAAACTATAGTTGAGCTCATATGCATAACATACGTATATATGTATAAACGTATTTAAGTTCGAGTTTCTTGGCTGTTATTCGCGCATATTTAGGGCCAAGTTATCGCGGCAAGTGAATCGTTGGCAGCAAATAGTTGCAACAGCTTCGTGTCACGATCCCAGCGCCCAGAAATCAGACAGGGGACAATCAGACAAACAGACAGACTGACAGACAGACAGACAGATAGACAGTCAAGTGAAACGTTTTGAAAAGCTGCCTCACATGTGAAACAAAGGTGCAGAGTTATGGTTATGGCTATATGAACTCGAATACGACTGCTAACAATGATCGACCTTGAGATGCTCTTCACCATCATTAAATAAAAAGTAGTTTTTACTCATAATAATTAAATTAATCTATCTCAAAATAAGGGAGATGTATTTCTAATTTAAGGATATGAAATAGTTATTTGAGATTGAACTACTTAAACTGACTAAAACTATATTTATCTCTGCCTGTTGCAGGGTATAGGGAGTTGCAACAACAGTAAGTTCAACAATCACTTGAAAAATCACCGCAAATGATCAGCGCGAAAAGCGACGACTGTCGAAATTGTTTGGCTATAAAAATAACCACAAAGTAGCAGCCCAACTTGAGAATAGACAGACTAGCTGGCTGTCATATAAGCCTTGAGTCATATGGGAAGCTGGGAGCCGCTTTGCTGGCAGGTTGCCACAGGTTGACTCCGATTGCCGCCGAGCCCAGCAACATTTTGCGGCAATTGCAACTTCATTTGGTTCGCTGTTTTGAACCAAACAGCAATAACACAAACACACAAAATATTTGAACGTCGTCAAAATGTCAGCGTGGCCAAATTTAATAAACAGCCACAAAACAGACAGCGGCGACTTTTTAGCGACGCGTGTTGGCAACATGTTGCATAAAATACGAAAGCCAAAAAATTAATATGAAAAGCAAAAAACCAACACAACACACACAAAAAAAAATTCGGACAACGAAAATATGTTGCACGCGTCGCTGCTCCGATTTTTACTGAATTTTTGCAGCACATTCCCAATTTGTGAGCCGCGTTGCCTCCCAGCATAAAAAAAAAACGAAGCGAGCAAGGGTGGGGGGGAGTGGCACACATATTTGTCGTGCCTGGCAAACACCAAAAGCGAACAAATTCCCACGATTAGTTTTTTCCTTATAGTATTTCGGTTATTATGCGTGTCTTTCGAAATTTAGTTTAATTGAATTTATTTGGTTGAATGAAAATGCAAAAAAGCCAAGCAACGCTTACTAAAACAAAAACAAAACAGACAAAACTAAATAAATAAAAACGATTTATCATTGTTGTTGTTGTTGTTGTTGCTGTTGTTGCTGTTGTTGCTGTTGTTGAGCGGCGTTGTTGTTGCCATATTTAGTCATATTTATTGGCAAAACAAATTGATTAATTGATTCAGTCTTTAAGTTTGTTCGTCTCACTGATCTTAATGAGAACTTTCCAAGCTCTGAATGGGCCCGCATGATCGATGATATTCATTCAACCCATTCACATATATTTTCTTCAATCGGTTGCCCGTTGCGTATGCTTGATATTGCAAGGACGGTCAGTAGCTCTCATCCCAAAGCTGACTGCTGCGTAACTCACAGCAGTAGCTGCGTTGGCTGCATTAACGATGTCAGGGCCGTTGCCAGTCGAAAGCGTCGACGTGCTTACCCTCCACCCTCCACCGCCCCGCAGCTGAGCAAACACTCATTAATCATCTGCCCAACGATTGAACGAGTTCCTCAATGAGCTGAACACCACAGTTGCAGCCGAAACGGAGACAGCGCCAACTTCATTCAAGTGCCGTCCATGTGCCGAAAGTGATTGTTTTTGTTTATTATATAATCGTTGCTGCCTACAAGAAAGTGGCTTTGCTTACAACATATACAACAAATTTGTGTATACACTTAAAAAAAAGAATGCGACGAACTGATGCGAAGAAGATTTGCATATTTTTTAATTATTTTACTGACATTATTGTATTTAATGAAAATATATTTATTTTATTTAATTTTACTCAAAAATATACATTTTATGTTTATCTTAAATTTAACTAAAACTGTAATTTTCTTGAGTATTTTCATGGTTATTCGGTTTGAATTAATTTCAATATGCAAATCTTATTAAATGCTTGCCAATTACACAATTAATTAATGCAATCTTATCTTGATTTTAATTGGATTGTTTAAAAACAATAAACAGATTTGAACTAAAGCATCACAAAATGAGTTAATAATAATAATAAAAATAGAACGGTCTTAAGGAAGAATCTATGCTTACCAAAGCTGTTCCATCATTTTTGTTGAAGTCAACCCCATCGACTCTCCTAATGCCCCATCTAACTACAAAGTCTACGAATTCAATGACATAATCAAGCAATCCTCTTACAATGCCTGGGTAATCGTAACATTTCGTGCAAGTGCTAACAACAATTGACTCTTTAGCGGCCACAGTTACGAGATGCAAGTTCCGAGAAGCCAAGTAACGTGTGCGGAGTACGGAGTAAGGAGTTACGAGTGCGTCTATGAATGAGACACTGTGAACATCATCAAGAGCATTATCTCTCTTTCCGAGGGCGACGCTTTCGCTTTTGCTCGGTGGCCACTTGAGCGCCCAGTTGGCAAACACTGCGAGTTTTATGGTAGTTATGGACACCGATGACGCCTGCGGTTGTTGTTGCTTATGACTGCACTTGGCGCGTTTGCTTCCGGCGACAGCAGCTGGCGGCTGTGGGGGGGCGGTTTTCGTGGTGCTGTTGAAGGAATGGAGGTGTTCCATCAAGGCCAGTGGAGGCACGCATAGTCGAACGCTCTATAAAAGCTGTCGATTCAGCTGGAAATGGCATCAGTTCACCTCCATAACTCTTTACAACCGGTTCAACGATCAACGATTAACATGAAAGTCTTCATCTGCTTGCTGGCGCTGGGCGCAGTGGCCAATGCGGGTTATATTGGCGGTGGTGGTGGTGGTGGCGGTGGTGGACATGGACATGGTGACTCCGGCGGTGGCCACGACATCAAAGTCATCAAAGTGATACATGAAACTGCGCCGGCTCAAGGTGGAGGCGGTGGCGGTTGGGCCGCTGGCGGCGGTGGTGGCGGCTATGGCGGTGGTGGCGGCTATGGCGGTGGCGGCGGCGGTGGTGGCTATGGAGGCGGAGGCGGTGGTGGCTATGGAGGCGGCGGCGATAGTGGCTATGGAGGCGGCGGCGGTGGTGGCTATGGCGGTGGTGACTCGAGCGGCGGCCATGGCGGCTCTCAAGGCCAAGATGACAAGATCATCAAGATTATCTCACAACAGCCTTCTGATGGTGGCTATGGAGGTGGTGGCTGGGCGTCAGGCGGTGGTGGCGGCGGCGGCTATGGCGGTGGTGGTGGCGGCGGCGGTTATGGCGGCGGCGGCGGCTATGGCGGCGGCGGTGGCTCTGCTGGCTGGTCCGCTGGCGGCTCAGGATCTTCGGGCTGGTCTTCGGGTGGTGGCGATGCCACAACTGCTGTCAAAATCATCAAAATCATCTCGGAAAGCGCCCCAAGTGCTGGTGATGCATCTGGCTGGTCAGCTGGAGGTGGTGGTGCTTCCGGCGGTGGTTGGTCCTCGGGCGGTCCCTCAAGCGGTGGCTGGTCTTCAGGCGGTGCTTCCAGCGGCGGTTGGTCATCGGGTGGACCCCCTAGCGATGGCTGGGCCCCAGCACAGGGCGGCGGCGGCAGCTGGTAAAACTAAACACAGCTTGTGATAAACCTAAGTATCAAACTGTATTCATTTCATGTTCATTTCATTTACATATTGTTCGCCCTATTCGTTACATTAAAGTCCTTTGAAATTTCCACAATCGATATTTTGCTTTAGCTGCGATTTTAAGCTATACAGAGAGAGAGATAGGGAGAGGAAGAGGGTGAGAGTGAGAGAGGGAGTCAAGGAATCGTCTCAAGCTTTTCCATTTAAGGCACCACAAAAAACTGCATTTGAAAGTCGGCAACAAGAGTAGAAAGCTCAAACCTCCTTACCCATTTCGCACATTGTCCTTTTAGTTGCTATCTCCCTCTCTTCCTCTCTCTCTCTCTCTCTCCAATTGTTCACCCTTTCTGTAGCTCTGCTCTTTCACTCTGCTTAAGAAAAAAAAACACACACACTTAAGCGTAAAGTAATAAAATTCAAGCAACCAAAAAATGTCGAAAAAGGCAAAGACCAAAAGAAAAAGCGGGCAAAGATAAAAAAAACACACACAAAATATAATAAAAGACTGTTGGCAAAAAAATAAAAAATAAAAAATAAAAAAATATGTAAAATATCACTTTGGAGAGACGACGCTTCGCCAACCCACAAAGAATTGAGCCAAGCAGCCAAGGATATCAAGGATACTCACACTTGCCACCAAAAAGGGCAAAAGTGCAAGAAAAAGCTTTTCCACTGCCACACAGCGGGGTTTCCTACTGGGCTGCTACTGGGATGGATGGCTGGGAGAGGTGGGTGGTTGAGTGGGTTTCTTGTATAAAAATATTTTCCATATAAATCTAACAAAGAACGTGTTCGGGTTTCTTGATTAGGCGCCCAAAGTGTGCAAATTGGAGGGTGGGGGGCGACTTGGCTGCAGACCGACAATGACGACGGCAACGAGGACGACGCCAACAACAGTTACAGTTAGCTACTATACAACTACAACAACAAACGGCAAGTGGCATAGAAAGGAGCTGGGGCTATGGCTGGGGCTGGGGCTGGGGCTGGGGCTGGGGCTGGGGCTGGGGCTGGGAATGGGAAAGGGATGACGACTTCTCGGTTTCCTTAACGTTTTCAAAATAAATACTTACAAAGAAATAAAAGAGGCAAGTAGAAACAAAAAGAAAGGGAGAAAAAATAAGAATAAACGTGAAAGGCGCAACAAATCCAATTTGTTGTTGTCGCGGTAGACGTTGGCCCAAGATATTTTTGTGGGTGGGCATCGAGTTGGTTTTGTGTATTGATTTATTTCTTGATGGCCAAAGGAAGTGGCGCTGCGAGTGAATATTATTTTGGGACTATTGCGCAAATTTGATTTGCTCGAAGAATTATAAAAACAATCATTAAACTGCCGATCAATCCCCGCCGCAGATCTCATCCAGACATCAACTTGTTGCGCTATATAAACAAACAACAGCCAACAACCAACAAATTCTCAAAATCCCCCACACATATTCGCTTTTATATTTTTCATAAAATTTGAACCGATTCAAGAATCTGCCAAGCAACTGCAACAACAATAGCAATAACAATAACAACAACCACAGGAAGGAAAATAAAATTAAAAATTGAAATCATTTTGATGAGTTAATGGAAAATTTTCAGTTTTTCACAGTTGCTTTGTGAGTCGGTGGATCTGTGGCCAGTGCGATTATTTGTGCGCTACTTCTTTCAAATTTGTTATTATTATTTTAATTTTAATTTTGTTGATTGATGCTGCTGCTGCTGCTGTTGTTGTTGTCGTTGTTGTTTTTTGTTATTGCTCGTTGCACGTGCAGCATCCAAAATAGTGGAAAATTGCTTGTTTGCCAAACAACAACAAATAATACAACAACGCCTCAACGTTAAGCCAAAGTTAAGTTGTTCCGCAACCGGGAACCTTATTCTGGGGGCCCACTGTTGACACAGTCGCTTTGAGTATTCAGTGTGTGCTCCGAGTGTGTTGACTGTGGGCGCGTGTATCGACGACAACACACTCAATGAGGCATATGCAAACAGTTTATGCGACCCTCGCCCAAAATACTCGAAATACTCCTGCTTCCTTTGCTCAGCAACCCCAGAGACCTGAGACTACTTCAAGCACTTTTTATTATGCAATTAAGATTTATCCGAGTTGACAGACAGCATGGAATTAGTTTCGAGTAGTGCAGTCAAAAGATATGCGAATATAACACTTTATTGCCTATATGTGAAATGTCAGAAATGGATTTTTATCACTTTTACAATAACTACCAAGTTCTCAGCAAATTTTGTATAAATTAAATTTAGATGGATTAGGAAGCTCATCTAAGACTAGTCATTTTATTTCCAATTTATTCAGCGATCAACCATCATATATACATTATCCCTTAAAGAAATACTCCATGCAAAAACATTTAGCCTGTTTTTGATTTTAAATCGGGTGGATTCTTTGGATTTCCCTCATTTATAAATGATTTAGCGGTTCTAACGAAAAATATATTTAATACAAATAGCAGAACTTCCAACATGAAATTAACTGGGCATTTCAAAGTGGATAGTATATTACTGGATTCATAAGTATGTAAGAGTTAATCTGCTGAAATATACCTGTTATATAACTGAACAATCAAATTAATAATTGATGGTTTTTGAAAGAAAATAGTCAACGTTTTTTTTCGCTATATTAATTATTTTTATTTTATTTGTAGTGAGTTAGGCATTTTAACGGAATTAAACTCTAATTGGTTTAGCTGTCCCAGCACCAAAATCTCCTCGATCGCCTTTTTGGCCAGCAGCTTGTTCGTCTGATCCAATTTACGATAGGATGTGGCCCAGCCCTCTGCATAGATGTCGGCCTCATCACGCAAATTCTGGCGAAGATTTGGAGTAAGTGAAAGATTCGGCTGGAAGTGTGTTGGGCTCTGTGCTTGCTCAACTGCAGGCGAAGTAAGCTCCAGGGAAGAGTGATTAAGAGGCGATGCATTAGGCACGAACTGCAAAAGTATAGTCCAAATAATCCAACTATTTTTTTTTTACATTTATTTCATATACATATTTATTATAATACTTACAACTTTGCTTTCCTTCTCAGAGTCGTTGTCCTTGTCGTCATTCAATTCGTTTTTGGACTCATTCTCGTCGTGGTCATCGTCATTCCAGAACATATCGCTAGTCTCCGCCAGGGATGCGAGTTGAGGTGTCCTGGCATCGTGGCCACGCAGAAAGGACAGCTCATTGAAGTACCACAAAATGTGGCACGTAGACCTCATGCGTGCTCTCCGCCATCTGCTCGCTCTGCTCCACTTTGCGCAATTCGCGGCGAAAGCAGGTCCTTATGCTGTTTATTTTGCGACGCATGCTGTCCACATTTGCCTTCGAATCGATCTTTTTGTAGCACTCCAGCAAACAGTTGAAGGCCAGTTTCTTCATGCGCTGGTTTTTGTATACCTCGTCGTAGACGCTCCACAGCGCAGGTAGCTGGCGGTACACTTTAAAGAAGTCGATCCAGTTATCGGTTTGTGGTATAGCGCTCATTTCGAACAGCAGCAACAGCAGCAGCAGCAACACGTGTGCACACACTTGTACAGTCCCACGGCTTGAAGCGAACTAAAGCGAACGGAGAGCGGTCGAAGAATGTTGTTCGAACTTGCTCATTTTCATGTTTGACGCTCCATAGCACGCACACACACACTCACACATGATTAAGGCATGCATGAGAATTGCGATAACAGACGAAATCCAATCCTCGTTCAAGCAGCAGCAGCAGCGTCACACCAGCTGCATGCAAACATGTTGTATCCCAACAGTCAAGCAACATCACGTTTAAAGTTTGCTTCACACATTTTACAATGATGTTGGTGTTACAACAAGACTGATCGAGCTTGAATTGAATTCAGATTCGTGTTCTGCATGAATGCAAGTTGTCAACATGCTCAAAGCGTTGGTTGTTGGATCTTAAAGGGCATACGACCGGTTGACAACATTGCTTGTATTTATGCAAGTATGTGTATTAAGTAGTTTTTTTGTTGTTGTTATTTTTGTTATTGGCGTCATATCGTCGTTGCTGCCCTGCCATTTCGTCTGGTCGACGACACTGCCAGCGCCAGACGTGCGTCGCAGTTGACGCCATTAACGACGTACCCTCATCGATTTGGCGTCGCCGTCGTCGTTGTCTTCAACTCTGCATGTTTGTCGCCTTTGTTGGCTGCCAACACACTAAGGCACACACACACACCCACTCACACACACACACGTGCATAATTACAAGTAAGGCAAAGAAAAAGTTAGCAAAATATGCACGAGACCAAAATAAGCGTAAGAGCACAAACAAAATATTATTACTAATTCATTTTGTTATTTTGTTCATTGCACCCTTTTTGCTTTTGTCTCGCCGACTGCTCCGTTGACGTTAACGTTGACGTCGACTCCCCCACTTGCGATACGTCGCGTCTTCTGCTCTCTCCCTCACACCTTCACCTGTCGTTCTCTATTTGGCTTGCACTTTTGTGCATTGCATTGCCACAGCTCTCTTTCTCTCTCTCTCTCTCTCTCTCGCTCTCTCTGCTCACCTTTCGCTTTTGCTTTGCATCCGTTTTTCTGTTGTTTATCGTTAAATGCTTTAAGAGGTGCTCACGATTCGCGATTCTTGAGCTGTTTTCGTCTACGGCTTCGGCTTCTGCTTCTGCTTCTGGCGCTCGTCTGTTCATCAAATTTCTGGCCGAGTCATAAGAAACTTATCAACACACAAAATTGAAGCACGTTGAAGTTGACGGCAACAACGACGTCGGCGGCCTCTGTCAGTGCCAATCAGTTGTAAATGATATGACTGACCGATTCTTGTGACTTTCGTTGTCATTTCGTTGTGGGTGCCAACTGCCAGACACGTAATTAGGCTTATTTGCAGGTAGAAACGAACGGGGCAAATCGATTGCTTTAGGAAATGGCTTGTAAATAAGTCAATGGGCAAATAGGTATTAACTTTTGAGTACTTTCCTGTATTATATATTATTCAGGGTGTAAGCTGTGAGACTGTATATCAAATATGTATAACTATATATGTATATATACAAGAAGTTCTCGATCCACACAATACATTAACTCATAAGATTGAAGTAGGAATACATAAGACGGTTGCACTGCGAATCCCACAAGGCTTTAGACAGCTCCAGTTACTCCTAACTACAATTCAACAAAATGTACGTGAGTAATACAGATGGTAAGAAACTTGATCAAGATTCTTTCTAGCAGACTGATGGGTGAGCTTTAACATCACCATTTTAATTTAAATTATCTCACAATTCTTTCTTTAAACCACTATATAAAGTTGACATTTGAGCGCGCAGAACCACCTGCTTAGGCGCTTGGGAACAGTAAGTATGTCTTGGTCGCATTTTGTTGTAATACATAATTATAATGGTTGTAGTTCCCTTTTTTATTTTGTGCTCTGAGGTATTCTATTTTATAAGTTTGTCATCCGCTAATATTTTTTTTCACTTTTCTTTATAATTGGAAAACTTTTATGTACCGTCTCGGATTTCCGGTATGGTGACTGTTAGCACATCAAGTTTGACATGAATATTTCGTATTTCTCAGGTAAATATTTTGAAAGTTAGTTGCTCATTTTACGTCATTAGAAATCATTTTAATTTCATAACTTTGACAAGTACATCAAAATTTTTAAAAATCAAAAGTTAAAAAACAACTGAGAATCCCTTTTGGCCTGTCGGTATACATAAATTTGCCTAATTGCTTTAATTGCACAGTTCAAATTTTTGCAAAAATTCATAAAGTGCACACCCGCACGCACACACACACACACACACACACACGCACACACACGCACTGACTCAATTACCTTGCAAACTACCAACAACTCAACAATCAAATGCGATTTCCTACCAAAAACACACACAAACACGCACACACACACACACACACAAGTAAATACACGCACGCACACACACACACACACACACACACATTGTAATCATTTTTTGGGGCTGCCTTGTGCTTTGTTTTGTATGTGGGTCATGTCCTTATGAAATATTCAAATGTCCTGAATTAAACATTTATGCCATTTCCACTGTTTTATTGTTTTGTCCGATTTTCCAGGCAGCCCTCAGTTTTCCGCACCCATCCCAATGACTCCGTCTCCAATGAAAAACAAATTTTAAATGCGTACAATGGCTGATTATGTATATGTATATATATGTGTGTGTGTGTGCGTATGTATTTGTGTTTGTGTATGTTTCAATTTCTTTATTGAAAATTGACCAAATATGCGTTGCGATGAGAAGGTGGGCCAAAATGGTCATGCAAAGTGGGCGGGTCGGCAACAAAAGCACAGAGACAATAAAGCACAAACGCATAAAAGCAAATAAATTGGTTACATTTGGCTTACACACTCACACACTCGCACACACCCACACACACGCTGCGTAAATCCGCAACGGAAGTTGTGCTTTTAAATCGATTTTGATTGATTTTTCTCACTACCAGGAAAAATGCCTTTCGGGCAGCAGCACTCACACAAACCAAATATACAGACACACACACACACACACACTCACACCCGTATGTTGGGTGTTTGTGTGTGGTTGTGTGTGTGTGTGTGTGTGTATAAATAAAATCAAATTGTAAATAATCGAGTCGGAATCGTCGCCTGTTTGTATTTTGCCAGCCCTTTAGCGCTTTTCACTTCAAATCCGTTCGCAATACATATAGGAAAAAAGTATAACCGAAAATAAAATAAATTATTTTCACTAAAATTATTCTCAATATTTTTGGTGTTATTGTTGGTGTTGTTGTTGTTGTTTGGGTGTGTTTAACTTTGCCGCTGGCAGGTCGTTATTTATTAATATTTATTGAATGTGTGTGTATCGCTTTATTTCAATATAATAAAAAAGTGGACACTGCCCAAAGAAAATAAAGTAAAAGCCAGCACTTACATTTTTAATACAAAATCAATGAATATAAAAATAGATGTATGTATATGTATTATATGAAAATATGCTGTCACAAGCATCGGTATGTGTGTGATTTTATTTTTTTTTTGTTATTTATTTATTTATTTCTTTTTTTTTTTGTATTTGTAAAACACTTTTTATGTCTGCGGGCTCATAAAAAGCGCATAAAGTGGCTTTAACATGGCATAAAAAATGCACCCAAGAGTGCCAATACGTAGGCCAGCAAGGGAACGGGGGAGGCGGGTGGGTCAGTGAATGTGAACCATCTCTCTGGTCACTTTGGGTGGTCCTAGCCGGGGCGATAAGCGACATGTTGGCCACTAAAAAAGAAAACCAAAAACCATATGCGACAAAAAAACATGTGTCAGTCGCCATAAAGGAAGCAGGAGGAGTGAGATAAATATATAGAATGAGTGCAAAAGAGCCAATTGCTTGAATTAGCTGTAACACAATAGATTTTATATAGACTAGAAGTATGTATCCATAGTTATTGATTTTGATCAAATTACTGATTTACTCTCTATCCACTTAATGTTATCGCTTAAGACAATTTACGAGTTTTGAGTTTCCGAACTTTTACTCGTATTTTGTATTCATTTATATATTTGGTAGTCTATATATTCAAACCTAGCAGTATTCTTCTAATTTTTAAAAGAATAAGAAGAACTAGTAGAAACTATTGAATTGCACTGAAGTTTTTCGGACAAATCAAGATCAAAATTTCTCTAATCGGCTGTATTCCAAAAAAGTTGTCAGTCTCTCAAAGCTTGTGATTTTGACATGTCAAAAGTTGTATTTTGGTTTTTGACAAAAAATATTAAAACGAATGGTTAATCAGAATCAATATTGATTTCGTGGAATCCCAAATACAATATGCACATAAGACAGAGGGTTAGTAATGATATCCCTTTTACAAAGAACATAAAATAAGCACACGTGTAAACCTCGCAGTTATCATTGCCTTCACTGACCATTGGCTAGTCCAATAGACTCCAAGCTCCCTATAATGACTTCTGCAGAACCTACAAAGAGGAATAAATCAACCACCCAAGGAGCACGCCTTATAAACGACCCATCGCAGTCAACAAAAATAGAACAACTTAAGATTGAGATATTTTTAAACGCATCTGGCTGGACTGCAAAGAATTGAAGAGCATCCCAATAACGGTAGCACAACCGTCAAATCTTTACCTAACCCAATGTAAGTTTAAAATAGATTAAGAATATATATTTACTATTTTTACTTTTCAGTTTACTTTTCATATTGTATATCCCTTAGCAAACACGTGTCCACCCTTTCACGAGCACAATTTGTAAAGTATAAGAGGACTAATCAAACTTAAGCTTTTCCTTCTTCGACAACACCTTTTTCCTTTCACAATTTCCTTTGTTTGGCATAAGTCAAGCATCGGGGCACTCAATAAAGCACATATACATCGTTTACATATCTACATCAGGTCATAATTAAAATATCACGCCCATGCAAACAAATGCCAGACATGAAGTCCCGCACTCCGTTCGACATCTTGTGCCCCGCAAATAATCTTTAAGTCCGCTTTTTGTTTTTAATAAAAAGGTCTTTACAAATATGTTAAGCCGCTCATCATTGCCTTATGCCCTATTCCATCTATATGCCAGCAACCTTTCAGAAAGCCAACCCCAACCCCCACTCTCCTCCATCCTTTTGCCATTTGCCCATGCCTCAGTTGTCCCGGTTGTCCATAGTTGAATTCTCACCCACGACGACGACGTCTGCAAATCAAAGAAGCGTATCGCGCACGTGTCTGAAATATGCATTAACACACCGCCGCCACCACCACCACCAACAGCAGCAGCACCCACACCGCCCACTCTTAGACGCTGCCAGTGGCAGACAGTAGCCCCGGGCCAGATCACACCCCGGGCCAGCGGCAGAAGCATCCACCGAAAAATGATTTTATTTTTAATATTAATTGCAGCAATCGAGTGACCAAGGCAACAACAACCCTCGGGATCAACGGAACGGACATGTCTAGCGATAACTATGTAGCAGACACTCGAAATTAGGGCGGGGTACTGCTGAAGGGTGGTGGGTGGTCCAGCACTTTGACTCAACCGGATGTGGCAATTGAATTTGAAAGCTGTTCATAAAATGCTCACAATATTTTTATTCCCCGCAACTTGATGTGCAACTGTTAACCTTTCCTCTTCTTCAATCGCATTTGAACTTGCCACGCCCCTCACCCCTCATTCGTCATCCGTCATCCATCGATCACCACTATTTCTCGCAATTCTGCTTTATCACCGCGGAGATGATACGGGGAATTACCTTCTTCTTGATTTTCTTCAGTTCTCCCACTGCTCCAGCGAACTCCCGCACAGTCAATGTTGGTATCGGATCGATGTCTCTGAAGATTTTTGATTCCAGCATGCACAACTGCAAATTGAGAATGTCCACGGCTAGCAAGGTCTTATCTGCAATGGGCGCAATGCTCTTCTTGCGCTCATCGTTGGGTTTCTCCAGGTGCCGCTTGTCCGCCTTCGGCTTTATTACTTGTTTGCGAAAAATATATATTAGCGGTAATGCGATAAAGCACAGAACATAAATCGTGGACTGACTAATCCATTCTTCCATTTTGCCATTAGATTCTAAAATATATATGTAAGTATTTTTCACTGGGTGTAAGCAATACAAACTGAGCAGTTAACTCGATGAATATATGAAAAGTGTTTGATAAGTTGATTCCCATAAAATAGAGCATATGATTCGAAATACAATGAAAAACAAGAGAGAACCTTTGAACCAATAAGTCAGACCATCTGATAACAGGTGCTACAGAACAGGGTGGGTGTTCTTTGAAGGAGGTTCCCAGTCATCTTTCCTCCAAGTTTGCCTTTCAAATTGCGGTAGATAGCTTTTAAATTGCGGGAGATATAGGCTATGGAGAATTTTAGGGGAGAGAGTGGATAGGGCTGAAGAAAAATTAAAAAAGTATCCTAGTAATCTTCCTTCAAGTTTGGTGACTGTAGTTCTTAGATTGTAGGAGATATGAGCTTTTAAGAAATTTGGAGACGGGAATGGGCGTGGCCGAAAAAATGTTGGAGGATGCTGTAATCTATCAAACAAATTCCCAAACTATTGCTTGCAATTTAATTGAATTAAAATATCTAGCCACGGAGTCATTAGTTAGTCGAAGACTCCCTAGTTTGGACTCGTTAAACACCTACTGGCAGTTAGCGAGATGTAGGAAATTCTCATGGTAGCTGGCCTTGGGACACGGAGGGTTGGGTTCAATTCCCCGCCTATTTACGAAATTAGGTAACCAAGGTTGGCAAAAATTCCTCAACTAAACGCTCCACGAGGGTGTCGACTCGAAATAGTATTGCAGTGGTCCGCTAAGTACTGATGGTAGCTAAGATCTGTACCCAAATAAAACAAAACTGAAAGAGTTCGGCCCTCGCTCATAGCCTGAAGAGTGAAATAACTTTGCAACACACCAAGAAGTCTATCACAGTTAGAGAATATACAACCGACCAGAATTGTGAAATTCATAAATGTACCTGGCTGGACCACTTCTTGATCTGAGCACACAGGAGGGCCACAGAAATAGATTGAGATCACACACGATTACTTCCATGTGAGATTTTAAGTAGTTAGATGATTAAAATTGTGGCCAATGGCAGCCATGATATAGTATATATGCTCTGTCCCCAGGAATAGGACGGATATATTTCCGATTTCATTATAATAGAAAAAATTTGAGACTATAGCTAGCAATAATTTTTGGACATCAGGAAAATATTGTCGTTTTCAGCGCGATCATCATCTTAGTGCGATTTTCGAAAGTTAATTGGGTTTTTTCCGTGTGAAGTAGACTTAAAAAAGATGTGCGCACTATGCTGATAAAGAATATTTATTTTTCATGAAATCGATGACGCATAATTTAATGCGCAATACAATTTACAACAAAAGTAGAGTAAGGCATAAAAATACATAAATATAAGGCATAAATAAATAAGCTAAAAATAAATATTTATGTAAAGTCATACTTTTGAGCCCTTAGTATACGAGACTTCTACACCAAGTTTAAATTGGCTCGCTTTTTGATACTGATAAGGAAACCTAGTTGCTCAGTTGGCAAATATTCTCTATTCACATATTTTTATAAGTTCACCTACAAATATTGCAAATATTCTCTATCCACATATTTTTATAAGTTCACCTAAAGTAAATGCAGCTTAAAATTGTTATAGATTCTTTTGAGATTATGTTTGTCTACTATCTCAAATCGTCGACCTGGACTTTATATGCTCATAATAATATTATAGATAACAATTTACATAAATGTGCACATTATGTTTATCAAATAATAAATTATTAGCAATTTCGTGAATGCTGTAAATTCAAATCAGAACCAAAAGTTTTCGCTTGAAATCGCTTCCATGTCATTCTAACAGTTTCTGACTTAAAGCCTGCCACTTTTATAAGTACCACAACATTTTCGTAAGTAAAATTTTGTTTAATATTTAGTCTATTTTAATTTCTGTTCAAAGTAATTTCTGTTGATGTTTGCACTTCTCTTGTAGATGTTTCGGGTATTCATAATATCAATTCCCCTAATTATTCCCTTCATGCTTTATGTGATTGTGAGACAGCAGGTCCCGAATGGACAGTTTAATGGTAGGGACGATTTCCGAAGCGATTGGGCCACAATTGGGTTTGTTTCTTTCGATTTCCATCGCTTGACGAACACCCAACCTCATGAAATCAATGTACATATGGAAAATTCAAAGGGGGTAGTCAAATATACCAGCTATCATCGATTTGCCATCGCTGGCGGAAAGATAAATACCGACTGAACTTGAGCGAACCCAGTGGCAATGACACTTTTGATTTTCAAAGAAAGAACAAAAATCAGCAATTTAGCACATATGATCATGATAATGATAACTACATTGATTACAGTTGTGCAGAGCTATTTAGTGGTTGACGACGGTGGTAAAATGACTGTGGAGAGAGGTAACCGAATGACCTATTGAATTAAACTCTTTAATATTTAGCCTTTTACTTCTTTACTTTTGCAGTTAATTAAATGGAAATTATATTTTGATGGGATATTTCATTTCAATAGCATTTATATTAAGGGTTCAATCCAGCTGAAAAAGGAAAAATGCCTATAAGTCCAGCAGAGATATAAGATAATATATTATATAAATGCAACACATGTGTTGTAATTTCGAATTGTAAATATAATTACAATTACTGAATAAAAGAAAATAAGTTCTGAATTTGACAATTCTTAAGACAGTCTCCGGAGTATGTTGACAGACCGACAGACATGGCTAAATCGTCTCGGCTTTTGATATTAATTAAGAATATATAGCATACACAGAGTCGGAGAGGCTATCTACCTTTTATTCCTTTTCAGGTTATAAATAGACTGGGTAGAATCATAAAGAATGTTTTCATTCTAAATGAGCACAAAAGTGTGTTTGGAAATACCTATGACGATGTCATTTATTGTTTTTATTTAAGTATAGCAGCTTTGAATTTCCAATCATATCACTCATTCAAAGCCAAAACAGTTTCATATAAAAAGGGTAAGCCGCTGACCGCACTTGTTCCAACCTGACACAATTCTGACTTCTCGCACAACCCGCCCGCCTTTGAGCCACTTGGCCCAGTCATACGCTTCATACTTGGCCTCTACCCCCTCGCAAAACACGAAACCAAATCCCAAACCCATGTCCGGAACGCAAATAAACGATAAAAGCGCAGTCGTTCCGAATAACACTAACAATGAGTAGCGAGAGCCGAGAGTCGAGAGGCGAAAGGCGAGAGGCGAGTATCGAACAACCCGAATGGCCTGGACGACAGTCGCACTCGCTGACTTACTCACTTACTCGCTGGTGTGCCGGCTCGTCCGTCGTCTGCTCGCTGGTTGGTTCGACAAACGCGGGAGTTGCCTGGGCGCCCAGCAATGTTAGCAGACCCAAAACTCAAATTTCACAATATGCGCACAGAATATGCCGACAAGGGATGACAGAGAGCCATAAGCTGAAGCCGAGAGCGAGAAAGAGAGAGAGCCAAAGTTGAAAGTTAAATTGATTTGAGTGGGGTAGCTGGCCGAAGGGTTGGCCTTGTGGGTGGTTATTGTTGTTATTGTTGTTGTTGTTGCTGTTGCTGTTGTCGTTGTTGACGTTAACGTTGGCTTTGGGTTTGCTGCTCACCCAAATGACTTTCAGCATGTGGAAGCCGCTGCTTAGCATGTTTCCTGCCATTAGACGATGCCACGTGCGCAGTGAGAGAGCGAGAGAACAACCACTAACTCACACTCCATCAGTCTCACTCTCTCTCTCTCCTCTCTTGCTCTCCCTGGCTCTCCCTTGCTCTCTGTTAGCTGAAAATGAGGCGCAAATTTTGTGGCAAGCAAAAAAAGGTTCAACAAATGGTTTGGCTCGATACCGAAACCGAAGCCGTAACCGAAACTCAAACTCAAACTCAAATCCGAACTCTTGGCCCAAACACACACACACACACACACATATACACACATAAAATGCCACCCACTATTTAGTAATGACACAAAGTTTTAACGGGCAAATTGGGAGGTTGTGCTTTTTGGGGGGGCTGTGTGTAAAAACGTGTGGCATCATTTTTCAGGCTCGTGTTTTTGTGCGGTGTGTGCGGGGTGCAAGGGATTTTTGCTGGGTGTTTTCTGGTTTTGGGCGCACAGCAATTGACACACGGTTGGAAGCAGCAGCAACGCTGCTCTTTCGGGCTATTATATTGCCCACTCTCTACGACTCTCTCTCTCTCTCACTCTTTCTGTGTGCCTCGCTCTCTCTCTCTCTCTCTCTGTCGCGCACACAGTCGCATGAAAATTATGTCAACGAGCTCTGTTGATTTTCCATTTTGCCTGCTTTCATTTTAGCCTTCTTCCTGCTGCTGCTGCTGCCTTTTTGTTGTTGATGTTGTTGTTGTGCACTTTGTTTTTGTTGTTAATGCTGATGTTATTTGCCATTTTCTGTTGCTGTTGTTGGTGTTGCTGTTGTTACCGCCGCCTGACGCTGGTTAATTACATTTTACAAAATTTGCTGTCAAGTAGTTAAGTTGGGTTAAGTCGAGCGCGCTGCGCTGTCGACGCCGCAGTCGGCGCTGGCGCGGGAAAGGCTTGTTGCCAGTTTTGTTTGTAATTTAATATTCGATTTTATAATTTTTATGCGCTGACCTTTTTGCATTTGTGGAATTTTCTTTTTAATTATTTATGTGCGGTTCTCTATCCAAACGAGTGTTGAACAAGGGGCGGGGCGGTTTGCTGTATCGCAGATTAAACGAAAATCGGCATATTTAATTATGCAGACAGGTGCCTGTAATTTGGAATTGTAATGCCATGTTCGCATAGCACAAGGGATAGAATGACTTCAGAATAATGCCCAAATAAATTAAACAGTTGAAATAACATATTTAATCAGATGAGTGCTCAACATTTCAGATTAACAATTTAATTCGATAAAATGCAGAAATCGACTTAACAACTGAAGAGGAACCCAGAACTGAGCAATGAGTTAGAAACACAAACTGACATTTATACATGCATATACGAGATGCCAGACTATATACTATAATTCTAGCAGGACTGGAAACATTCATATACTTTTCTATG